TCCTCCTGGGACATATGTGCCCATCTCCTCCCAGGACATATGTGCCCATCTCCTCCCGGGACATATGTGCCCATCTCCTCCCGGGACATATGTGCCCATCTCCTCCCGGGACATATGTGCCCATCTCCTCCTGGCCATATGTGCCTATCTCCTCCCGGGTCATATGTGCCCATCTCCTCCCGGGCCATATGTGCCCATCTCCTCCCGGGCCATATGTACCCATCTCCTCCCGGGACATATGTGCCCATCTCCTCCCGGGACATATGTGCCCATCTCCTCCCGGGACATATGTGCCCATCTCCTCCCGGGACATATGTGCCCATCTCCTTCCGAGACATATGTGCTCATCTCCTCCCGGGACATATGTATCCATCTCCTTCCGGGACATATGTGCCCATCTCCTCCCGGGACATATGTGCCCATCTCCTCCCGGGACATATGTGCCCATCTCCTCCCGGGACATATGTGCCCATCTCCTCCCGGGACATATGTGCCCATCTCCTTCCGGGACATATGTGCTCATCTCCTCCCGGGTCATATGTGCCCATCTCCTCCCGGGTCATATGTGCCCATCTCCTCCCGGGACATATGTATCCATCTCCTCCTGGTCATACGTGCCCATCTCCTCCTGGCCACAGGAGGGGAAGACAGGAGCAGGGAAGAAATACTCTTCCTTTTATAGGCGTCAAGATTCAGCGGGGTTCATAATATAAAAAAGAAACAGTTTCCTTTCCTTGCTTTCTTTTGTCTCGTCACACACCCCCCCATTCCTTCCCTCCTTTTTTGAGACAGGGTCTTACTCTGTAACCCAGGCTGACCTTAAACTCATGCCAATCCTCCTGCCTCAGCATCCTGAGATCATAGGCATGCAGCCATGCCTGACTTGTTTTACCTTTAAAATACAAATAAAGGGGAACCATAGTACAAGTAGATCTAAAATTTTTGTCCTTTTTTTAAAATTTTTCAAATGTTAATTTTTGTGTATGGGTGTTTTATCTGCCTGTATGTGTGTGTACCACATGTGCACCTGGTGCCCCTGGAGGCCAGAAGAGGGCGTCAGAGCCACCAGTTCTCCAGCCCCATATATATATACATGCATATACATATATACATGCATATATATATACACATATATATGCATGTATATATATGTATACACACACACACACACACACACATATATATTAATACTAGTCTGAAGAGATGGCTCAGAGGCTAAGGGCTCCCACTGCTCTTACAAAGGATCCAGGTTCAGTTTCCAGAACCCACATGACAGTTCCCAACCATCTGTAACTCCAGTTCCAGGGGATCTGATTGATTCCCTCTTTCGGCCTCGTCAGGCACCAGGCATGCACATAGTGCATAGGCACACATGCAGGCAAAACACACACACAAAACAAACAAACAAACAAATAAATCTATCTTTAAAAATTTAAGTAACACCAGCCAACGGAAGGAAAAGTAGAATTGAAATACTATAGCCTCACATACTCTCAACAACCACCGCTAACATCCAGGCACAGTCCCTTCCAGTCTTTCTTCAAACGTCTTTTTCCCCTTAATAGTTGAAGTCCTTCTGCTAAATCCATCCTGAAGGTTTATGGTCTGGTTTCAGCGTGGGCTTTCGACCGCAGAGAGAACAGTCTGTTTGATAAAAACCAATGATACCGAAAACAGATACGAGAAGGGCCCGTTGCTATGGGAACTATTGAAAATAAATTTCAGCTCCTACTACACCCCGCTAATGTATTGACCAGAAGGAAGAACAAGCATTTGAAGTCACTTAGAAGAGCAGCCAAGAGCATTTCCAATCAAGGAGGAGAGCTCATGGGTCTAAGAAAGCTCAAGGTGGCCCGCAGTACTGCCCTGCCAGTCAACTGTGGTCTCCTAGCAACCGTGTCAGTGGAGGGGAGGGCACCTGGGAGTCAGGGACTGGGTAGACTGTTTCTCCCTTTGTTGACAGTTGGGCAGCCAAAGGCCAGTCTGTCTCCCTCAGTGTGAGAGCCATTGCGGCAGGATGGCAGGATGGTGCAAGGCCCAGGAACAGCACACCTTCCCTCCCGCAGAGAAGCCCCAGATAGCATGCGGCAGCACTTCAGGTGAGCCCGGGGACCACCAGGCCCTCGGCACTGGAGTGACTCCTGTATAGGAGTCAGCCCCTAAGTCGGGGGAGCTTCTAGAGGTCAGTGGGGAGCAGCCAGGGAATTCAGAGGATAGTGCAGTCTCTGACATTGGAATTACAATATCTGAAGAAATGGTAATCTACGCCAACTCAACTCTGAACAGTAGTCTACAACCAACAGCATTTAAAAGGCAAGACCTGGGGGGCTGGAGAGATGGCTCAGTAGTTAAGAGCACTGGCTGTTCTTCCAGAGGACCAGAGTTTGACTCCCTGTACCCATGTCAAGCAGTTCACAACTGTCTGTAACTCCAGATCTAAGGGATCTCATACCAGCAGGCACCCGAACACACCTGTGACGTACACACAGACAGACACACGTACATTCACATAAATACAAGTAAAATCTAAAAATAGATCAAAAACGAAAGTGAAATGGTGCACAGACATCTTAAGTTTGTTTGTTGTTTGTAAAGGCAAGGGGTGACCTCCAAGCGGGGAGCAGAGAGGAGACAAGCATGCTGTACGAAAACAGGCCTCTTCCTAGCCCAGGACGGGCTCGGCTGCAGCATCATATCTGGTTTCACACCCTAGCTCTGCCATGCGTTAGCACAAACCATAGCCTCTTCCTCTATCTGTAAAATGGGTATCAGTGCTCCCATCTCAAGGGGTTCTGGTAGGGGCTAAGTAAGATAAGCTGTGCCCAGCATGGCAGGAGCTCGGGCACAGTGACCATCACCACCGTCACAGGTCCCTGTCTGGGCTGCAGGTGGTTTTATACACCAGTTGGTTCCATCTCTCCCTCTCTTTAAAGCCTGGTCTCTGTTGCCACACAAACACAGAGTTCCTGGAGTGTGTAGTGCCAGGCCTCTCTACAGCACCCTGGTGACAGTTGAGCATTCCGAGGACAAGCGTAGTTGACCTTGATGCTAAAACAACACACATCTGGAAGTGGCAGTTACAGATCCCCATGTCCTTCAGAGCCCTGCGATGTAGGGTTCACACTGCCAGGCTTCCAGGAGGTGGAGGAAACCCTGGGTTCCATTAGAGCAGCGGTTCTCAACCTTCCTAATGCTGTGACCCTTTAATACAGTTCCTCATGTGTAATGACCACCAACCATAACATTATCTCATTGCTACTTCATAACTGTAATTTTGCTACTGTTATGAATCGTAATGTAAATTTCTGTGCTTTTCCCATGGTCTCAGGTCACCTCTGTGAAGCCCAAAAGGGTCTTGACCCACAGGTTGTGAACAGCTGGATTAGTCAGTCATGAGTTCATTCAATAGTTGCAATATTCAATGGGTATGGTGATGTACACCTTCAGTCCCAGTACTTGAGGGGCAGAGGCAGGCAGATCTCTGTGAGTCTGAGGCCAGCCTGGTCTACATAGTGAGTTCCAGGAGCTACATAGTGAAGCCCTGTCTCAATAAAATAAGAAAATAATCCGGATGGTGGTGGTGCACGCCTTTAATCCCAGCACTCAGGAGGCAGAGCCAGGTGGATCTCTGTGAGTTTGAGGCCAGCCTGGTCTACAGAGCGAGATCCAGGATAGGCACCAAAACTACACAGAGAAACCTTGTCTTGAAAAACGGTTTACTGATCCCAAAGAGTGAAAAGCTATCCCTGGTCACTTGATAGTTTTTTAAGCTTAGGTAAGGAACACACATTCTTATTTTGAGAAATAATTTAGCATATAAAGCAACAGATGATCAAACATTTCCGTAGCCATCTCTATGAAATGACAATTGTCAACATTTCTCATAGGTTGCTTGTTTTTCTTTCTTTTTTTATTATTTATTTTTAATGTGCATTGGTGTTTTGTTTTGCCTGTGGAAGGGTGTTGGTTGAATCTCCTAAGACTGCATGCAGTTAAGGACAGTTGTGAGCTGCCATGTGGGTGCTGGGAATTGAACCCAGGTCCTCTGGAAGAGCAGCCAGTGCTCTTAACCATTGAGCCATCTCTCCAGTCCCCAGTTTGCTTGTTTCTCAATATAAGGTCTCAGTATTTTGTTTGAAATCTTCCTGCCTCAGCCTCCCAAATATTTACAGGCAGGTGCCACCATGCTCAGAAACATCTATTTACATCAAGTTCTTAAAGAAAACTGTCAGAATACCTCGAAGTCCGTTTCCCTCTCTGTCCCCACATTTCTCTCCTGCTCGTGTCCCAGTCATTGCTGTGGATTTGGTCTCTGCCCATCTGTTTGTGCTTTTGTGTGGAGGAAGTTCTGTTATCTACATTTCTGTACTCTTTTTTATAGAAAGAAATGCGGGGCTGGAGAGATGGCTCAGCGGTTAAGAGCACTGACTGTTCTTCCAGACGACCTGGGTTCAATTCCCAGCAACCACATGGCAGTTCACAACGGTCTGTAACTCCAAGATCTGACACCCTCACACAGACATACATGCAGGCAAAAACACCAATGCACATAAAATAGAAATAAATAAATTTTTTTTTTTTTTTTTTGGTTTTTTGAGACAGGGTTTCTCTGTGTAGCTTTGTGCCTTTCCTGGAACTCGCTTTGGAGACCAGGCTGGCCTCGAACTCACAGAGATCCGCCTGGCTCTGCCTCCCGAGTGCTGGGATTAAAGGCGTGCGCCACCACCGCCCGGCAATAAATTTTTTTAAATGAAAGAGAATCAGGGAAAATACATGAAGTAAAACTCTGTGTGTGTGTGTGTGCGCGCGCGCATGCCTGTATGTGTGGGTGCCTACGGTGTATAGAGGGGCTTCTGGGCCCAGGGAGCTGAACCAAGGTGCAGCTGTTCACCTGATGAGGACCCAGCCCCAATAATTGTAGGTACAGCCTGTGGAAAGGGAGGGTACTCTGCAAATTATACCCATCAACATCTACAAAGCACTGTACTCCAAGGGCCTACCTGGGTCCAGGTGGGTGAAAGAACCCACCACGAAGTCCAGGGTGGAGACAGCCAGCAGGAACAGCAGCAGCAGCTGGAGGCGGATTATCCACTTGACACCTGCTAGGTTGATGCCCAGCAAAGCCAGAAGTACAGCAACTGAAATTCCTCGCACAGCCCAGATGTTCCCAAGGCCCAGCAGATCTGAGATTGACTCCGCGAAGCCTGTGATGTACATGGCACCTGCAACACACTGCCAGGCAATTCCCGATGGGAACAGCCAGCAACAGAGAGGCATCAGCTGCAGACCTGCCTGCACACGTGTGCACACACACACACACACACATACACACACACACACACACACACCAGCACTGTGGCTCTCTGCCTGGGAGGCAGCACCAGGTCAAACCTGCTCTTCCACAGGGGAACCTGCCTCAGGGTCCCATTTCTGCTCATTCACATCTTGAACAAGAAAGGAATGAGCCCCGGGTTGAGAGCTGTCAATGGTAACCAAGGCAAAAAGGTTATGGGATACTGGGTCAAAAGGCCTTTGGCTTTCTGCACTATTCAAGAACTAAATCTCTACAACAAACATGTGCACACAGGGCCCTGTCCTCAGAGCCCAGCAGCTCACTCCCACAAACACATGAACACCATTTATTTTAACTTGCGTATGTGACCCATGTCCACCTCTTTTTCGAAACAGGGTCTCTCAGTGGCCTAGGACTGGCCAAGTAGGCCAGGCTGGCTGACCAGCAGCCCATGGAGCCTCTTACCTCTGCCTCTCTAGTGCATGCCACCACACCGTGCTTGTTTTTCACACTGGTTCTGGGGAATCACACACATGCCCCCAGGCATACAAACAAGCACATTACTGAATTATACTCTTTTCCCAGGCCTGTAAGTCAGGCTGTTTTAGTTTGGTTTATATCATTTGGTTTTGGTTCTTTAAGACAGGGTATAACACCGTAGCCCAAACTGACCCGGATCTCACTATAGATCCCAAATCAGCTTCAAACTAGACTAATCCTTCTGCCGCAGCCTCCTGACTGCTGGAACTCCAGACATGAGCCACAATCCCTGGCAGTATTGGTCTTTTGCTTATCTAGCTGTCAAGCATGGTGGCACGTAGCTATAATCCCAATACTCAAGAGGCAGAAGTAGGAAGATCACTGAAAGCTGAGGCCAGTCCAATCTACCTAGGCCAAGCAGGGCTATGAATGAATAATATGAAATTTAGAGCCAGAATAAAAAAGAGCAGGTAGCACATCTTTTCAATGTGACAAGGGTATCCACAGGCTATCCAGGTGAAGTCAGGGTCTGGTTCACTATTCACTATTGATCAAATTGGCACTAAATATCCCACACTGAGTAGTTACATGTTAACTTACACTGATTTTTGCCAATCTATAGCAGATGCAGAAATAACTTCTGTCTGGTGACCAGGTAGCCCGGAGGATTATGGTTTACACTTCTAGAACAGTGGCTAGCTGATGTCCAACCCAGCAAACTTGACCTCCCATTTACTGACTAAAGCGCCTAACTGTGAATGTGCAGATTCGATCTGTCCCTCTGGCCTCCACGCCTCACTCCTCCGTGCTAGTAAACATCTTAACTAGTAGGCTGCACTCATTCATATATTAGTGTCACGGTTTTACATTATTTGGAAAATTTGAAAGGCAGGTCCAAATAAGTAGTTAAGGGTAACATGAGCCGGGTGTGGTGGTGGACACTGTAATCCCAGCATTTGAGAGGCAGAGCCAGGCAGATCTCTGTGAGTTCAAGGCCAGCCTGGGCTACCAAGCCACACAGTAAGACCCTTTCTTAAAAAAAAAAAAAAAGTATCATGTGTGGGCCAGCAAGACGGCTCATCAGGTAAAGGCACTTGACACCAACCCCAATGACATGAGTTTGAGTTCCAGGACTCACAGGGTTGAAAGAGAGAGCCAGCTCCTGCAAGGTGTCCTTTGACCTCCACATGCACACACATACACAATACACACATACACACATAATACACACATACACAATACACACATACACAATATACATACATACACAATATACACACATACAATATACACATATACACTTACACAATATACACACACATACACAGAATACACACACATACACAATATACACACACACAATATACACACACATACACAGTATACACACACATACACAATATACATACATACACAATATACACACACATACACAGTATACACACACATACACAATACACACACACAATATACACACACATACACAGTATACACACACATACACAGTATACACATACACACAATATATACATACACATACATTCATACACACACGCACAATAAACAAATGTAATAAAATGTTAGTGGCATGAGCATCACTTTGTGCAATCATCAACCTCAGTCCCCTTCTCTCCTGAGCTTGGTCACTTCACTGACCCCCAGGCTCTGCTGGTCACCCTCATCAGTGCAGCCCTGCCCTTGCCATTATCCCAGGAACAAATTCAGCTTGAGCCTATTCAAGCTCTTCCTTTTCCATGAACTTCCCGTCACTCAGTAAACGTTACACTTACCTCCAATGCTATGTAATTATCTGGTTCCAGACTCTACTATCTCCTGCACCAGGAATACAAACACCCTTTCAAAACAAAGCACTTGGGCTGGGGAGATGGCTCAGTGGATAAAACACTTGCTGCACACGTGTGAGGACAGAGTTCAGATCCCCAGAACCCATGAAAGAGCTGGTCAGGTGTGGTGGCCAATGGTAATCCTAGCATTCCACTCTGAGGCACACAAAGGGGATCTCCAGGGACTCCCAGCTGGAATCAGCCAGTTCTGAGTTCAGCAAGAAACCCTGCCTCAATAAATGAGTAACCCAGGAAAATGGCAATGTCAACTTCAGGCGTCCACAACATGCACACACACACGCACACACACGCACCTATAATCATGTGAACACATAAGCAAGTGCACACCAAATACAGGTTAAAAGACTCAATATTGATTTCACCTCTTGGGTACCCTCCATTTGCTGAGCACAGTGCAAGCCTTCAGTGAACACTGTGTGATATGCTAACTTTCATAGTCAAGTGCCCTTATCTGTGACCATTCCTACCACTCAGATAGATCTGGCTGGGAGAAGTCTTGTTGACTTGGCCAGCTTCTGACAACCAGCACAATGTCACCATATATTCAACACAAGGAAGCCTTTGTTCCAAGGTGAACACAGAAAAGCATAAGGACTCTCTCCCAGCCAGGGTTCAGCTGAGGAACAGAATTAGTGAATGCACATGGGATTCCAAAAGGGGATTTAGTGGCTTGCACAGACAGAGGCTGCATAGTCCCACAATGGTCATTTACAAGCTGGAATGCCAGATAAGTGAATGGCTGCTGAGCCCAAGAAGATGGAAACCTCCAAACAAGAGGGACCAAGATGCAGCACCAGTCTCGAGACAAGGGTCTGGAAGCTCTGTGGAAGTCACTGGAGTGGGTCTGCATCAACAGGCTGCCAAAGCTGGAGTCTGATGTCCATGAGCGGTGGTAGCAGCATTTACACACCTGCTGAGGAAGACTTTACCATCCGCTCTGACTTCCTCTGTTTTTGTTCCATCTGATCCCCAGCTTACAGGACTGTGGCACCCACCGTCAGGACAGCCCTTTGCCCCTCAGCTGTCCACCCTCACAGACACAGCAAGAGGTGGTCTTTACTAAGTTCCTCTATATCCAACCAAGTTGACAGTCAAATTCAACTATCAAGCTGGGGATGAGGGCACTTGTCTAATAGCCCAGCACGAAGATGGTAGAGGCAGGAGGGTTGTGAATTCAAGACTAGCTCAGATTACTTGGCAATATTCAGATAGATTAGGCTATATAGCAAGATCCTGAGTAGGGAGAAGGGGGAGAGCCACCACACCATCAGAGTTATTGTAAGGCCTTTACATTTCTAGCCGGTAGACACGCCCATCGCCATGGAACTGGAATACCTGCACACATTTGGGGTGTACTGACAATGGTGCCTTGTACCCAGTTACAAAGTAAACCCATCTCAGGGAAAGAGGAGCCTGTGCATGAGCTCCTACAATGCAGAAAGGCTATTCCCTTCTGGCTCAGAACTCATGGCTTAACCCACATCCGGCTTGAGACAGCTGACACAGGGCGGGTCTGAACCCCAAGCCTTCCCGAGCAAGCCAGCTGCCCTAAGGCATCCACGCTGGAAAATGCTCTTCCTTGGAAAGCATTACTGAGTTTCTGTAAACATTCCCAGAGCTCATTATAGTTGGAAAGAGTTTTCATTTCCTTCTAACATAATCAGGGACTTTTCTTTTTACCATTCTCAACATAGAAACATCTGTAACTCCCTGCCACATAAGGTGGGGCGGTGCTCAGCATTTGAAAGGGAGGAAGAGGTATATTCTCAGGGTAGAACACCTCCATCCCTCCCAGGGTACTTGTTTTGGCTGAATTGGGTGTTTGGAGACCTGAGTGGAAGACAGGCACAGCCCTCCACATTCGCTCCTTCAGGCACAAATCCTAATTTAGGCTGCAATAGGCAGCGGGTATGGATCGTGGAGGTGCTCACTCCCACCATGAAAACTCCCCAGGCCTCTATCTGGTCTAAAAAGGCTTTCTGACCCTTCACTCTTGCTGTAGAGAATCCAGCACAGAGCACATTAGCCATGACAAATGTTTTGGACACAGTCAACACAGGCTGAAGTCAGACATTTTCACATCCAAGTAAGTAGCCCAGAGAGGCTCCTCGGATGCCCCACAGATGGGTGGCATAGGGAGGGATGAGGGTTTCTAGTTGCAATCTTCTCCTCTGGCCATGGATCTGGTCCCATAGGGTAGGGCGGCTAGCCAGGCCTCCAAAGTGAGGGAGGAAGGATTGAGTGTGTCCAGGACATGGCAAGATTTTTTTTTTTTTTTTTTTTTTGTATTTTTGCTGTGTCATGTGAGGCTTTTTATTAATTTTATTAATTTTTATTTTACGTGGATGGGGGCTTTGCTCGTGTGTATGTCTTTGCACCACTTGGGTAATTGGTGCCCGTGAAGGCCCAAAGAGGAAGTCAGATCCCCTGACACTGTGTCACAGGTGGCTGTGGACCATCATGTGGGTGCTGGGGATCGAACTCAGGTCTTCTGGGAGAGCAGTTAGTGCTCTTTCTTAACTGCTGAGCCATCTCTCCAGACCACACGGCAAGATTTTAAAATCATGATTCTAATCAGGCATGTAGGCCTGTAATTCTAGCACTTAAGAGGCAGAGGCAAGAGGCTTACCATGGGTTCAAAGTCATCCTAGGTGTCCGGATGGAAGCTCAGCCCCCCTCCTCCCTCTCCAAACCCTGCCCCTTTCAGAAAGTCTGCCAGGCAGCAGCTCCTCCCCCTGCCCCCAGCAGCTCCAGACCGAGCCTACAGGGTATTTAAGCTCCAGTCCACAGACCTGCCATGTGATTTCTCTTTCTTCCTTCCTCTGGGGATCACCCGGGAACACTTTGCTCCGATCAAACCTGGTCTTATTAATTCAGCTTGATTTGGCTTATTACATTGGTGGAGAAACCCATTACTGGGGATTCAAAATACTTACCACTAGGCTATAGAGAAAAAAAAAAAAAAAAACAAAAAACAACAAAAAAAAAAACCCAGGAAGTTAGGTAGGTAAGGAAAGAGGGGTGAATTGGGAAGAGCTGGGGTGTGTTTGAACATGATCAAAAGACATCGAATGAAATTCTCAAAGAACTAATAATAATAGTTTTAAAATACAGGCACTGGAGATGGATCAGTGGCTAGTAGCATGTATCACACATAACAGAGGACTCCAACCACCTGCTAACCCCAGCTCTAGGAATCCAACACCCTCGACTGACCTCCAGGAGCACCGCCCTCATATGCACATCTCCTCAACACCACCACCACCACACGCACATAATTAAAAATAAAAAATCATGCCAGGTGGTGGCGGCCCATGCCTTTAATCCCAGAACTCAGGAGATGGAAAGACAGACAGATCTCTGTTAAGTTCAAGACCAGCACAGTCTACATCGTGAGTTCCAGGCCAGCCAGGGCTACATAGTGAGACCATGTCCCCCAAAGAGTTGGTTGTTTAACATGTGACATGAAATAAGAAAGAAGGCTACGGGAGGTGGGGGGACACAAGGAGGGAAGCAGAGGATGGGAGAGGGGGCATTGACAACAATAGATTTCCAGTAAAAATGTCACAATGGAAACCTCATTCTTTGCAGCTTAAGATGAAAAGAGATTATGGGATAACTCTTTATCTAGATTGGTCGAGAAGAGAGGTGAACTCAAATGATCAAAGGAAGGGAGGAGAGAAGTGTCATCACCAGACAGAAAGAAAGAAAGAGGATTACAGGGGACCAGATAAAATGTCAGTACTCTAGATGACTGGATACACAGAAAGACACGACCTACCAACACTGCACAAAACAGAATCAGGACACCCCCTTGCAGGCAGAGAGTCTGCTAATAATTGGGAGATTTGAAACAATGGCCACCAAGAAAACCAGGACCAGATGGTCACACTGCTATGCTCCACTTAGCATTTAAAGAGTTAGTGCCAACCCTTTATACACACTTCCAAAGACTAGAAGAGAAAGGAACCCCCCAACCCCCACCAAGTGAGTCCTTAAGGCCAGTGTTAGCCCCACACCAAAACCAGACAAAGGCATCTCCCAAGAGCTGCAGACCAGCAGCATCCTTGGAAGTGTGTGTGCCAACATCCTCAGCAAAGTCCAGGCAAACCAAACCCAGACGTTGACTGAGGACAGGAAGGTAAAGGCACCCTGGTCAGAGACTCGGCCCAGACGAGCTCAGACAGGACGGACTACAGGGACTGCTGTCAGAGGCCTGGGCCCTGAAGTTTCTCGCCAGGGCTGCCTATGCTGGGCAAACCTCTGTGAACACTGTTCCTTCCAGCCAGCCCAGGGTCCTCTCCCCATAGGGTGTTCAGCCCTTGTCCTCATCTCCTGTCTGCCCAAAGAGCGGGGAGAGTGGGGCTGTCTGTGTGACCAGCCTGCAGTCCCTGCGGCTATGTCACAGAACAGGAAAGCAGCCCTTAGGGAGGCAAAGCAGCCTGTGAGGACTGCTAGCCATTCCAAAATGGCTGTCACAGAGGCAGTGCATGTTTCAAACTCCTGGATTTTGGAACATTTACAAAAGTCTTACATTATTGACTAAGCTTTTTTCTCCTGTGAAAATTCAGCTTCAAAAATGCTCCAACATCTGAAAGTCGGTGGGTTTTGTTTGGTTTGTTTGCTGTTTTCTGTTGTCTGAGAGTTTGGCGTGGATTGGGCTGGTAGGTGTTTTCTGTTGTTTGGGTTTTTGTTTGGTGTGGGGGTTTTGTTTTTTTTTTTCTTTAGAGACAGGATCTTACTATTTTGCCAAGCTGACCTATCGGTCACAACCCCCCTGCTTTAACCTCTCAGACGCTGGGATTACAGGCATGTCTACCACATTCAACTTCAAACTCTGAAATATTTCAACCCTGCTCAACCCTAAAAAGTTTTGGATTTTTTGAGTTATGGATTTTGGATTTTTTTTTACTGAGGATGCTCAACATATATTATATTTCTAGATTTTCTCCAGTAAAAGCAACTTCCTTTTCTGAGCAAGTAATGAGGTACCTCCCATGCACCTGTCCTACACACACACACACACACACACACACACACTCACACATACTTTCTCACACTCACATACCCATGCACACACAAATACAAATGCACACACACATGCGCACACACATACTTTCTCACACACACCCATGCACACACAAATACACGTGCACACATACATGCACACTCACACACATTCATGCACTCAGCTTTGTGCCCTTAGGGAATATGATGTATATATGCTGTGGATGATTGATTGATAAATAAAACACTGATTCGCCAGTTACCAGGCAGGAAGTATAGGCGGGACAAGGAGAGAGGAGAATTCTGGGAAGTGGAAGACTGAGTCAGGAGACACTGCCAGCCGCCATGAGAAGCAGACATTGAGATACCAGTAAGCCACGGGCCACATGGCAAGGTATAGATTAATAGAAATGGATTAAGATATAAGAACTAGATAGCAAGAAGCCTGCCACAGCCATACAGTTTATAAGTAATATAAGTCTCTCTGTGTTTATTTGGCTGTGGGACTGGTGAGTGAGAGAGATTTTCCAGGCAGGACCAGGAAAACATCAGCTACATATTTATGCTGATGCCTCTGCTGCTCCAAATGAAAAGTAACAATGCCCATTTATTCTTTTTTAATTGGCCACCCGCCACCATTTGTTTTTCCATTAAAAACCCGTTTGGTCCAAGCCACACTTACAAAAAGCTACTTCTTAATGTCTGCATGTTGCCTTCCCAGCATCAAATCTCCACCCCTGTGTCCCAGCTAACTAAGCTTTAGATGAGCCTTGGAATTTCTCCCTGCCTGCTGATTTTCCTCCTGCTGTGTCCACCCCAATGTGTGGCCTTCTCACTGGCATGCGCCTCAGTCTGAGCATCCACACGAGGGCCTCTGGCCTGCCTAAGGCCACCCAAGTCATCAGACCTGTCAGAGCTTCACCTCCAGTGGAAAGGGCTGCTTCCAGGAAAGGCCTCTGGCAGAGGCACAATGCCCACCCGTGGTGCAAAGTGCAGAGGGCTTCCTGCCATGCACACCCCTCCTGGAAAGGCCGCAGAAGTGAGATGCTGCCAGCCCCTGGCCTGGGCACACCGGGAATTCATGAGGCAGAGGCAGGAGGAGACAGGAGCTCTGGAGTTCAGGCTCTCCACCTAGATTGCTGGCGCGAGCTCCCCCTCAGAGCCCAGTGTGGTCCTCTGTCAGGTGGGGGCCCTTGTCCCCACACTTCCCTCCCCCAGGTCAAATTAGGAAGGAGACGAGGAGATGAAGGCCAATGAACAGGTAGAGGCTTTGACTCCTGGAGTCAACAAGGAGTTGACTCATGCTGTGGCCTCACCTGTCCAAACACGTACAACAGCCCGACGGTGCCTCCCATCTGCCCACCAAGGACTGAGGAGATCATGGAGTAGACACCACCGCTGCCTATCCCGCCATGCTCTGCGACGCCAATGCCAGACAGCACCGTGATGAGGGCCACGAGGACGACGAAGGACACCAGGAGCAAGCCCAGGAGCACACCTGTGTTTCCCTGCAGCAGAGTGGGGGAGGGGTGTCAGATTTAGGAGAGACATCTCACTGGAGCTGTTCCCAACAGAAGCACTGCAGGCCTCTACCCACTGGGTTATCCATGGGGCAGGGACCACAAAGGAACCAGGAGAAAAGCGTCAGGTACCTCCTGGTTCTTCTTCTGAACTAAGGCCTGCAGGCAGTTTCAGACAGGTGGAAAGTCCACCCTCAAACACTGACTTTATACCACATGTGGCTAAAGTGAAGGCAACTCAGGAGCCAGGCTGGAGAGATGAGATGCTCCGCAGTTAAGAGCACTTGTGGTTCTTGGAGAAGATCAGGGTTCGGTTCCCGGCACCCACATGGTAGTTCATGACTATCTGTTAACTCCAGTTCCAGGGAATCCAGGGGACTGATCTCCTGACCCCTCAGGCACCAGACATGCATGTGGTGCACATACATGTCGTTAAACACTCCTATACACAAAAGCAAAACTAAAAAGGAGAGATTCACCAGGGGCCTGCAAATCTACCATGCAGGTGACCTCGCAGGATAGGATATGCTCTCTCCCTGCCATCCTCTTACCCACGTTGCTCTGCCTAGAAAGACCTTTGTACTCACTCCACTGGCTTGCCAGGTTAACCCCAAAGCAGCCTTAAAGACTCAGTATCCGGGACGCCTTCCGCCAGGAGCTGTCGTAGGCACCCCTCCCCTGAGCCCTCCAGTACTCACAGCTTAGTGCTTTTTATCACAGTACTTACTTATCACAGTCTCTAGTCTCTCTGCCCATGTCCCATGTGAGAACAGGACACATTTCCACCCCCCTTCATGCTCGCCAGGCTTCGCACGGCCACACACTAAGTGCTCACTAAACGCTTGCTGAGCAAATAAGTCCACATTCCTGGACACGCACATTGACACGTACACACACACACACACACACACACACACACACACACACACAAACACACACACACACACACATCTCAGTGTGAAAATCAAAAGAAGGGCACAGTGTAAGCCCTTTGCAGCGCTGCATGCTTTGTGAGAGCACAGCGCTGCATGCTTTGGGGGAGCACAGCGCTGCATGCATGCTTTGTGAGAGCACAGCGCTGCATGCATGCTTTGTGGGAGCATAGCGCTGCATGCATGCTTTGTGAGAGCACAGCGCTGCATGCATGCTTTGTGAGAGCACAGCGCTGCATGCATGCTTTGTGAGAGCACAGCGCTGCATGCATGCTTTGTGAGAGCACAGCGCTGCATGCATGCTTTGTGAGAGCACAGCGCTGCATGCATGCTTTGTGAGAGCACAGCGCTGCATGCATGCTTTGTGAGAGCACAGCCCTGCATACATGCTTTGTGGGAGCACAGCGCTGCATGCATGCTTTGTGAGAGCACAGTGCTGCATGCTTTGTGGGAGCACAGCGCTGCATGCATGCTTTGTGAGAGCACAGCGCTGCATGCTTTGTGGGAGCACAGTGCTGCATGCTTTGTGAGAGCACAGCGCTGCATGCTTTGTGAGAGCATGGGCAATGGAGACTCCTGGAAGGTGTGCTGAGTGATGGAGAGAGAATGAAGGGAGGACAGAGGGGCCTTAAAATAGCTGGAGGGGTGCCCTGCCAGTGAGGGGTGCCCTGCCAGTGAGGGGTGCCCTGCCAGTGAGGGGTGCCCTGCCAGTGAGGGGTGCTCCGGCTGCATTGCTGGTCTGGGATGGAGAGAAAGATGGCAGGGAGGCAGGGTTCTTCCTCTCCTGAGCCCCAGCATTTTGCTACCCTGTCCTTACTAATTGGTGGGGTGTTGTAGACACTCAGGAGGATATTTGCCCTCTAACTCTCTTAACTGTGGATCTCACATGGGCCAATTCCTCTTTTCTCTTTCTAGCAACATGCCCCCCGCCCCTATCATACTGCCACACAGTAGGCCCAGAAGCAAGGCCCTCTATCCACTGTCCCCTCTGAGGCCACGGGGACGGGCACTCCCAGAGACACACTGTTCAACTGGCTTTGGAGTGACCCGGCCAACAGGGACTGCTCAGACGACAAGCACGGGCCCTTCAAGGACTCCCTCTCTCTCACGGTTTTTGTTTATTCTTTAAAGTATTATAGGTATCTTCGTTAACTATGTCCAGCTCCTTCAGGGAATAAACCAGAGCAGAAATGAAACGCAGGGCTGAAGATGTAGCTCTCTGACAGAGCGCTTGCCCATTAGGAGGCCTGGGTTCAAGCCCAGCAGGGAAAAACCAAAAAAGAAAGAAAACAAAAACTCCACAGGAGGCTCCGGGCTGCGCCAGAGCAGAACAAACAGCCGGGAGGATGCTGCACTAGTCACTACCAGTCACACAAAACAGGAGGGGCCTCTGCACATCTGACCCAGTGTGGAGACCCAAGCCAGGGGAGGGTCCCTTAGGGGACATCTGTCTACAGAGAGCTGGGCGCTGCATGCCAACTGTGTGCAGTGTGAGCAGACCGGAAGTGGTTCCTCAACCTTGCCTTCTGCTACTCCACAGCCCCGGGTTGTCTCCTCCTAAAACAGACGATATCTGCTTCATAGCCGTCAGGAAATCTTAAAGTTTAGAGAATCAAACATATTTACTTCACTTTGCCTGCCGCCTGCCACATAAGGGCTTGATAAGCCTTAATTGCTATATCTTATTTTGCTATAAAATGTTACACTATTATTATTAATTATTGTTACACAGCTTATAAATACAACACCCTCTGAATGTCCCCAAGGCCTAGTCTGGTGCATAAGGACAGCCGTGAGCTTCCTTCAGAAAGAGAATGCCAACAGCCACGTGTGCAAAGCCCAGCTACTGCCAGATGGCAAAGGACGCTGCTGCTGAACTCCTGGGTGTGGTGGCAGTACTAGCCGGTAGTGGCGAGACCAAGGGTGGAGAAGGGCTGACAGGAACCTAAGTGCCCGTGTGGCTCCCTCCCTCCACTCATGGCACAGTCCCAGCTCCCCAGGACACCAGTGTCCATGAGCGTGACATGGGAGTGTTTGCACTATTGACTTTGCTAATATTACACTTTCAGTGAAATCCTACAGAACCATTGCCTTCTTTTGTTCATACTTGAAACCTGTCTGCATGTGAATATAAATACCCCGCTCTAAGAACAACCTTGGGTCTTCAGAACAGAACTGTCGCTATAACAGTTTATAATAAACTATGTGTCCAAGTTGTTTTAGAGTTAATGTTTTTCTATTTAAGAAATGCTTTTGGCATTATATCCATTTCAATTTCATACAATTCCCTGGATGGTCTGTCTCGTTTTTTGGCATTTCATATTTATCTTTTCTTTTCATGATCAAAAATACGATACCAATGGCAGAGCTGAAAGGCAGAGTTTATTTTAGGACAAAAGGACAGACAAGCTCAAAGATGGCCTGTGACCCCTGCCTCTGGTATTCCCGTCCTTGTGCGGCCTCTGTCCTGTGTGGACCTGCTTTCCGGGTCCCACAGAAGGGATGGCATATCACTTCTGAGGCTAGGACATTGAAGAGATGCTGGCCACCATTGCAGGCAGGAGTTTTCTCCTATTCTGTCTGTGGTCTTGGTGGAAGTCTGCAGCCTCGGAAAGAGACAACCCCACAAGGAGACCAGGTGATGTGGCCAAAGCCTGCCAAATGTACTTGGGTGATGCAGTAGAGTCTTCACATGTGCCTGACTGACAGCAACCCTCACAGGGGCCTTGAGTACGTGGCCCTCAGAACCACAGAATACACAGTGCTGCTGCCATAGCTGCTGATATTGGGGTAACTCGTTACCCAACAATAAACAGTGAATACGACTTACACCTTCACTTTGGGGATGGAGCTCATTTTAGCTAGCCATTTCTTAAACATCAAATAAATAAACAGAGATGGCTAAAGAACGTAGAGCTGTCTTCCTTCCTGACACTGATAACTTCAGAAAAAACAACAACAAAGAGATTTAAGCCTGAGGCTTCCCAAGGAGGCATTCTGCCTCTAGACTACAACAGAAATGCCTCCTAGTGTCTCGTCTTGACTCAGGTCTTACCTGACATGTACCTCATGTGTGTGTGTGTCTCCCACAGCATTGACTTTCTCTGGTGAGCACTTGCAGACAATAGTCTCCCTGAACACTCTCTCCAACTCAATCCAGCCTTCAAGCTTCTTGCAACTCCTCCTCCAGGCAGCTTTCCCAGGCACCTTACTGTAGGTAGAGTTTTCCTGCCTGGCCCACAGTCAGGACAAATCTCTCTCACCTGCCAGTCCCACAGCCTTTCAAACCCAACCAAGTAAACACAGAGGCTTATTTTGCTTACAAACTGTATGGCCGTGGCAGGCTTCTTGCTAACTGTTCTTACAGCTTAAATTAACCCATTTCTATTAATCTATACCTTGCCACGTGGCTCGTGGCTTACTGGTATCTTCACATGCTGTTTCTCATCGTGGCAGCTGGCAGTGTCTCTCTGACTCAGCCTTCCACTTCCCAGCTTTATTCTCCTCCTTGCCCCGCCTACACTTCCTGCCTAGCCAACGGCCAATCAGTGTTTTATTTATTGACTAATTAGCAACACATTTGCCATACAGAACATCCCACAGCACTTCCCCCTTTTTTTTTCAAAAAGGAAGGTTTTAACCTTAACAAAGTAAAATTACATATAATTTGGGAATTTGGGCGTAGCTTCTCTTACTACTTCCTGCTGGAGGGGGGCGCTGTATCTTATGGGGAAACAAAGAAAATTTTAGGATTATGGAATAGTCCATGAGGCTGTATCGTCTGAGCCAGATGCCTTCAAACCGTTCTGGATGTTGGATCATCTGGGCCATGGTGTCATCGGAGACCTTTCAGGGGGTCTTGGCTGGTCAAACCTGATGTGTCTTAATCTGGAACAAATCCATAGCCCCTTACCTCTACTGCAGGACTCCACTCCTGGGGCCTTAATGCTCTGGAGATCTCTCCTAGTGTGAGTCTGCACCACCAGAGGAGCAAAGGCTTGTGTTTTACAACCCCACTGGCAGCCTTAGTGTCTGCACACACTAGGCATTACACACTAGGGGTGTAATTCTTAACTGGGTGGTCTTTGGTTCTGGGCAGCCTGTTCGGCCCATTGAAGTCCACTGTGTGAGAAGATGTGGTGTGAGAGGTCTCTGCAAGGGAAGCTCTGGAATATTTCTGCCCAAGGCATAAGGAGAGGTCCTTTGTGCCCTGTGCTGAAGATGAACTACCCATCAGGATCTAGTACAAGAGGGTCTGTCCTGGGTAATAAATTCTGAGAGGCAGGCGCTTGACCTCCAACCAAACGGCTCTACGAACAAGGCCAGGAACAGTATGAGAGGAACCATGTCATGGGAGTTTCAGAGGGGCACAAGGTGATGTGATAAACACCAGGAAGCCCAGAAGGGTCACAAACCAGAGTAATAACCATCATCTCTGGTCCTTGCCCTATCTCTAGTCCCACCTACAATGAGCCCTGACTCCATATAGTCAGGTCCATGTTGAGGCTCTCACTGGGGAGCCTCTGAGGGCCAGGCTCTGCTTCTCCTTTCAGGAGAATCTGTGCTTCAGGACTCTGTTCCCTAAGTTGTGTGGGGTCCAAGATGCTTTTCCACGTCACAGGCCCACCAGAAGTTCCAGGGTTACCAGCTCATTACTCACCACCAGCCAGCCGGTCCTCAGGAACAGGACAACCCCAAAAATGTTGATCATGCAGGATGTGAACACACCATCCCAGGTCCCAAACAGCACTGGTTCCCACATGAACAACTGGATCTTCCACCAGGGCTGGGGCTGGGCTAGGATGCCCTGCAAAGAGCATAGTGAAGTCAGGTGAGCAGCCACGAGAAGGACTGGGGGCGCTGGGGGAGGGGAGAAGACTGAAGGGGAACAGGAAAGGGGAGGACACCAACCTTTAAAAAAAACAAAACAAACTCCCACCCCCGGGACTGGGGGGATGGGTCAGTGGGTATTATGCGAGCGGTAGGACCTGAGTTCAAATCTCCAGTGCTTATATGAAAAGCTGTATGTGGCTACACATGCTGAAACCCCAGCGTTGTGGGGCGGACACAGGGAGATGCCAGGAACGCATTAGCTAGCCAGCCTAGCCAGAACAGGCTTTGAGTGTTTCGGTGGGAGACTCTGTCTCAGGTGTGTGTGCACAGGTGTGTGTGTGTGTGTGTGTGTGTGTGTGTGTGTGTGTGTGTGTGTGTGTCTGCATCTGTGGGTAGGGAATGACTCTATAAAGAGATCTCTATTCCCTCTTAGTGGCAGGGTTGTGGCATCCATGTGTAGTTAATTGTTCAACAAACACCCAGCCTCTTTGCAGGTGAGACCACGTGACTGGGGGTAGGTAGTTAGGAGCAATAGCAGGTTTTGAATGGGTGGGTTGGGGCCCGACCAACTAAGACAGTATCTCTGGCTCCCAGCAATTTGCATCCCCTTCCATCTTCCAGCCCCAGGAGTGAAGGCAGCTTCTAGCAAAGGCGCCTGCTGATGACGTCATCCTGCTGATGAAGGGCACTTGTCACTCACTCCTTCAGCCCTTTCTGTCACCAGGCTCTTCTGTTCAAAAGACCTGAGTGACTGGTTTCTCTGCCTGAACACTGACATGGTGCTTCCTATGCCTCCTTTCTTTCCAAGATCCTGGGGTCCAAAAGGATGCTTTGGCTGCCAAGCTTAGAACCAGAGATAGACCAGTGGTTCAGTGGGTTCTCTGCCCATTTTTTCCAATGCAAAAGTAACAAAAGCATGTATAAACCCCATGCTAGCTGGTTTCTGTGTCAATTTGACACAAATGGGGGAGCCTCAGTTGTGAAAATCCCCCCACCGGATTAGCCCGTAGCAAGCCTTTGGAGCATTTTCTTAAGTGATGATTGATAGGGGAGGGGCTAGCCCCCTGTGGGCAGGTGGTCTAGGGTGCTCTAAGAAACCAAGCTGAGCAAGTCATTAGGAGCAAGTAAGTAAGCTGCATTCCTCGGTGACCTCTGCATCAGTTCCTGCCCCGACTTCCCTCTGTGACAGACTGTAATGTGGAACTGTAAAATATACAGTTTCTCCCCCAAATTCTTTTGGTTACGGTGTTTTATCACAGCATTAGAAACCTCAAATGGAAGCCCTTTACTAAAATGACTGAAAACTATGGGATACTAAAACATACACAAAATCAGCACCACTCAGCCTGGGAACTGCTCTTGCACAGGCTGAGTCATTAATCTAAATTTGGGCATCCGCAGAGTCCCCTGTCCCCTAAAACCATGCCGCAATGATTAAGAATCCTCGGCAGGACAGGAGAGAGGAAGGTCTCAACCGTGTGTGCAGCCGGTGAGCACATGGGCCTGGAGTGGGCATTTAAAAGCTGCTTTTGACCAACTGCGTTGACTCCTCACTTGGGCCCAGAAGGTAAGAGCGCCTGGCATTTCCGCCTTCACCTTGTGGCTGGCTTCCTTACTGTGGCTCAGCCGCTCACCTCACAGGCATGTCAATCACTCAAGGCATGTCTGTCTAGCCTAACCCACACTCTTTCAAGGCTGAAGGCACAGAAGTAACTTACTGTCCTGAATCTCCAGCCACCTTGAATCCCAGCAACAGCAGTCCCTCGTAGGGGACCAGATGAAGGTGACTCTCTATAGTGGTGAGGGTACACCCTACAGCGGAAGTGATCATCTTCTAGGGCCAGGCTGTCCAACCAGTGACAGCAACAAAGACTTCTTTAGACCACCCTGCAGAGGCAGGCCACTCCCTGACCAGGAATGCTTATTTAGGCATATTTCTTGCTCCCTCTGCCCCCAAATCTTTCTCTGTTTAAACCGAAGACTCACGTCAGTATTCCCAAAGATGAACTTGGGGTCACTGGATCCCTTGTCTCTCAAATGTAGTCAACTGACGAAATCTCTGAAATCTCTGCTTTTCAACTTTGCTTCTTTTTTTCTTTTTTTTTTTTTTTTCCGAGACAGGGTTTCTCTGTGTAGCTTTGCACTTTTCCTGGAACTCACTTGGTAGCCCAGGCTGGCCTCAAACTCACAGAGATCCGCCTGCCTCTGCCTCCCGAGTGCTGGGATTAAAGGCGTGCGCTACCACCACCCGGCTCAACTTTGCTTCTTTAGCTGTATGTCAGGGATGGGCAGCCAAGACTTATGCTGCTGAAACCTAAACTTTTGCCCTAAAAACCCTAGTTACATTATCTACAAACCAAAGAGAAGGCAGAAAAAAGCAATAAACAGGAGAAAACCTAAGATCCAGAGCCAAAAAGGTCTGACTTTGTGATGGCTGAGAACAAGGACACACCTTGACCTCAGTCAACGCTAGACAACCACACTGCTTAAAACAAGAGCTCAAATGTTCCTTCTCCCTACCCCACACTAACAGACCAGGGAAGGGCCTCCAAGTGAGTCCTGCTCACTAGAGGCGGGGAAGGACAGCGGGGGACTGAGGGATGTCCTTAGTTAGGGTTTCTATTGCTGTGAGGAAACCTGCGACCAAAAAGCAAGTTGGGGAGGAAAGAGTTTATTTGGTTTACATTTCCATACTGCTGTTCATTGAAGGAAGTCAGGACAGGAACTCAAGCAGGGCAGGAATCTGGAGGCAGGAGCTGATGGCGGTGGAGGGGTGCTGCTTACTGGCTTGCTTCCGCCTGCTTTCTTAAAGAACTAAGGACCAAAGCCCAGGGATAGCTCCACCCACAATCGGCTGATCCCTCTGGCATTGATCACTAATTGGGAAAATGCCTTACAGCTGGATCGCATGGAGGCATTTCCTCAACTGAGGCTCCTTCCTCTCTGATGACTCTAGTTCACGTTGACACACAAAACCAGCCAGAACAAGGGAAGGACAGGGGAGGGATGGAGGAAGGACAGGAGGATGGAGGGAGGACAGGAGGATGGAGGAAGGACAGGAGGATGGAGGAAGGACAGGAGGATGGAGGAAGGAAGGACAGGGGAGGGAGGACAGGAGGATGGAGGAAGGACAGGAGGATGGAGGAAGGACAGGAGGATGGAGGGAGGACAGGAGGATGGAGGGAGGACAGGAGGATGGAGGAAGGACAGGAGGATGGAGGGAGGAAGGACAGGGGAGGGATGGAGGAGTCTGGATAATGGGCACCAGGCACATGATTGGGGAGGAGGAACTAGCAGACTATGGTCTCCAATGATTTGTCACAGACGCCCAATGGGAGGAGCCTAAGGTTCCCAGCACAAAGAAGGATGGTGTTGGACATGGAAGTCCTAACCACCCCATCTGATCACTCCAGGTGGTGTGTAAGCAGTATTGTACGGTACCGCATACATGTGTGCACATTTTATGTTAACTGAAATTTTAATCTGGGGCCAGCGGTCAGCAGCGCTTGCTGCACAAGCCAATGGCTTGAGTTCAATACCTGGTTCCCACAGGGAGAGAAATTGTTTCCTGAAAGTTGACTTCTGACCTCCATATGTGTGCAATGGCATGTGCGCTCCCCCTTCTCTCTCCCTCTCTACACACACACACACACACACACACACATACACACACACACACACACACACACACACACACACACTAATATAATACAATTTAATTTTAAAGATATATGAGAGATGGGAAAAGGAAGAGGCAGGGAGAGTGCAAAGGAGGAAAGGAATGAGAGAGGGAAAGAAAGCGAGAAACGGAGGGAGAGAGGGAGGCAGGGAGGGAGGCTCCCAGAAATAACTGGGGAGTTAATTAGGCCGTGGTGCGGAAGGCCCTGTGAGACTCTGGTCAGCCCCGACTGCCGGTTCTCAGCTCCGCTGACGTCTGTTCATTCATTACTAATTCATCTGTCTTCCACAAACCACAAGTGTGTCAGGGAGCTCAATGACTGGGGCGTCTGCCACCTGAGACTGTCCTTGAACCACCCAGGGACAGGGCTGGTGAAGGCAGGACTGTTAACTAGGATCCCAGTCTCGGAACTGAGGGCACAGCCCAACTCGCTGCCTCTGCATGTACCAGCTTCCTGTCAGGGCCTGCTGCAGATCTATTATTCCTAGAGACAGTAGCCGTCAGCAGTGGAAAGAGTTAACAGTCTGCTTCCAAATCAGTGCTCTGTGCTCCTTTAATCCCCACAGCCTTGGGAGACAGAGCCCTGGGGGTGGAGGGATGGTCCTCTCTAGAGCTGAGAAGACGCCTGACTGTCTTAAGTCTTCCAGCTGGGGCTCCAACCCAGGCCCGGATGGTGGGACCTGCACTCCACACTATGGCACACTCACTTAAAGGCGATGTGTCCTTTTCTTCCCTCAGTTTGGGTCCTAACACTCTGGGCGTAACTGTGTCCATCTGGTCTACCCCGTGAATGCCTATGTGACTACTCACTCATCTTTCCACTCAGGAGGCTGTGGAAAGCCTTGACCTCACACTCCAGTACATCAACCAGAAGAGTGCTTTATGCCTACAACAGGTTCACACTTCAGGACACTTGACCTTGAGAAAGGCAGCAGAACTGCTCTGAAGTGGCTTAGTGACTGAGCCACAGTTGTGTGTTTCAGGATGTTGGGAGGGAGGCTTCCACCATTTTAAAAAAGTGGTCAAAGGCTATCCGAAGTCTTCCCCCACAATTATAAATCCAGTGTTCTTAGGGAGAAAGACCCCTTAAAGCCCAGTGAAAGAGGAGGAGAGGGGAGGGGAGGAGGAGGGAAGGAGGGGAGGGGAGGGGAAAGGGAAGGAAAGAGGAGAGGAGGAAGGGAGGGGAGAGGAGGAGGAAGGGAGGAGGAGGGGAGGGGAGGAGGGGAGAAGAGGGGAGGGGAGGAGGAGGCAGGCCGACAGGCAAAGAGAGAGAATGGGGTGGAGACGCTTAGCAT